CGAAATAGTCAAGAAATGGTCTGGGGATGATTTGTTGAGCATTGTTTGACAATTTGGGGAGTATTTTTGAAGTATTTCTTATTTTTCGTCCAAAATCCCCCTGTAGGAGGACAGGCCCGACTTTATGCTGGGAGAGCTGAGCAGTTTCTTAGGGTGGAGGGCACGGGGTGAAGTCCACAGGAGCTTCTGCGCCTCGAAAATCAATCCGTCGTGGGATTCACCCTTTGTAGGTGCAAGCCTCGGCAATCGATCGAAGCGGCACTTCAGATCTCACCCTGTGCCCTCCACCCGAAGAAAATGCTCGGGAGAGGTCTTCGCCAGAAGGATTGAGGATTCAGCCCCATCGGTCGGCGGCGAGCGAATGGGGGGGAAATGAGGAGGAGAAGGCCTTCCCAGAAGGCGGCGGAACTTCTCAGAAGCCCTCGCGCCTTCTGAAAAGGTGTTTCTGTCTTTGGAGGAAGCTTGGGAAACTTCTCAGAAGGCCGGGGGACTTCCGCGCCTTCTGCGCCTTCTCACTTCCCCCCCTCGCTCGCCGCCGAATTGGAGAGCTGTTACGCCGCGGATTAAGCGGGATGAAGCAACATTTGACGGGATTGAAACAAATTCAGCCGGATTCAGCCGGACTTCGGGCCAGGGCAAAGTCAGAATTTGACCTCCCTGGAGCTGCATCAGAGCAACACCCTGCACTGACGCAAGAGGGCGCAACATGTCTCTCGACTCCCGGCGCCGTCATATCCCAAAAACTAATGACCTCTAGACGAACGGCCAAAAATAACGGGTCTTACGCATGGTGACGGGCCGCAATCGACTACCCCCCCTCCCGCCCCAAGACCAAGAGGCCCCAGGGGAGCCCAATACGCCGCCAAGGAGCCCCAAGACGCTCCCAAGAAGCCCCCCAAAAGCCCCCAAGACGGCCCCAAGAGGCCCTAAATAGCGCTCCAGGGCCGGCGCAATGAGCGAAGCGATTAAATAACGGGTCTTACGCATGGTGGCATAGCGACCTTACGCGGTGGCTTACGCGGCTTCCGCGGCTTACGCCAGCGCGGCACGCGACGCTGGAAGCGAGGGCGTTGACGCGCGCCCCCACGCGGGCAGCCTGCGCGCGCCTGTCGGCGCAGGTGGTCCCGCTTGCTTTTTTTTGTTGTCGCTCAGATGCCGATGACGATGAAACAGTGCCCCGCTGCAACCTCCCAATGTTGAGCAGGGACCGACCGTCCCAGCATTCCTATAGTCATACCACGGAACGTTCTTAGAACCCAGAAATGTTCTGAGAACAAAAAACCATGCTCTTCGAACATGAGCCCGATGTGTGTTAAAACAAGACTGTCCCAGCCAGAAATGTTCTAAGAACATTTCCTGGAAACCGCAAACAATTCTTAGAACATTGATTGGTGGGGCTATAGGCGAGCCGGGACGCTTCGCCACTGCTTGACAATGTGTCCCCACACTCCTCGTCCTCCTGGACCTGTGTCTTCATCATCGCCCACTCCGCCCAATCGTGTAGTCGAGCGGGCGCCCAAATACTTGCGTCCTCACTCTGCCAGGTGAATCTTGCGCTCATCCTCTCTCTCTCTCTCTCATGGCACGCACCCACATGGGCCAATTCATCGGATCATTCCCTCGCTCGGCCAGCGCGAGTTCCTGCAATCAGTGGCCCTGCGCCAACGAATTCGCACTGAATCGCGAGACTGGTACCCACGCGCCGTCCCGGGGGGACGGGGCAGGAAGCGGACATCCAAGGCAGGCGTGCTTTTGTTGCTGCATTTCGACATTTGGCCGAAAGGTGGGGGAGGGTGGGGGAGGGGGGGGTATGGGTCTGAGCCGGTGCTTCGTCGAGCTGCACCTGTGCTTGGTACCACTGGGGGAGATGTCCTCACCAGGTGGCCCATCGCCATTGTCGGATTCCCTTCAGGCCCGGCTCCACCGCGACACGGTGCATGGCTTGTCGGCTCCGAGGGCCGACGGAACTGTGCACCGTACCACTCCTGGGGCGGGGATCGACGACGCCTCGGGAGGTGCCAACGCGACCTGGTGCACACGAGTGGTCCGTGGACCGCGACGCCGCCTCGACGACGACAAAGCGATCCGGTGCACACGAGGCGATCAACTGGCGACGACGCCTCGACGACGACGCCTCGACGACGACAAAGCGATCTCTGGCCATCGCTCGGACGTCCAATCCCTGTGTTTTTCTCGGTTTCGTGCGTGTTTTTGTTCGCCAAATCGTCAAGGATGCTCCTCGATGGCCCTCGCCGAAGGAAAAACGCACACGCCCGAGCGACGCCAAGATCTGGTGCACACGAGTGGCCCGTGGCCGTGGATCAGCCGCTCCCTCACTCACGCGCTGCACCGCTCACTCTCAGCTTCACCGACTTTCGAGCCGGCTCGCCCGTGAACGCCCGAGCCAACACGCCCGAGCATGCTGGCCGACGTGGGCAGCGCCCTGCTGCTGCGGCAGAGCCTCGCCGGCACGGAGAAACACGCCCCACGCCCGACACTCGCCACCGACGCGCTGCGCTGCCAGAGAGCGTCCCGAGATGAGCTCGAGCGCACCGGGTGGGGCACGACCGGAAGTCGGGCCGCGCTCTCGCGAGACTGCCTCAGAGGCTCGCCAAAGCATCGAGATCAAATGTTCGGTCGATTTCGCGCATGTGGCGAATCCCGGGAACCCTGAATCAAAAGACTCTGCCACCTCTTGGGATACAGACTTCTACTTCCGCCGGCCTTCGCCAGAGGAGGTGGCCTCGTTTTACCGTCGCCGCCCGACGCCCGGTGAAGAGACTGCAACTCCTTCGACCCTAGGCAGCGAGGCCCTCTTTGGACGGCCTCATGCAGCATCCGTTTTGACCAATTTGGCCCCGCGGTGGTAATCACAAATACCCGCTTCCAAGCTCGAGGAGCTGTGCTCCCACGCAGGATGCAATTTACAACTATATACCTGCGCGCCACGCCGTTAGGACCTCTTTGCATGGTGAGTGTTTTTTTATTCGGCGTTTCGACATTGAGCGGAAAAGGGGGGAGGGGGGGGTCTGGTTCCAGACCTCTGCTTAGTGCGACTGTTTGCAAGAGTGCTGCCTCTGGAAGAGACTCCACCCGCTCGAAACCGGCGCCAAAGAACAGCCAAGATCTACTCCAAAGGGGGGGGGGAAGGGGGGATGGGGGGCCCGCGCCGATCGGCAAAACAAGGAATAAAAAACGATCACATGGTGCCAGGCTCTTGACCTGACGAGGCCGCTCTGCCCTGAGGGGTCCTGGTCGAGGGGGTACTGACCTACATGGGAGGCATGCAGGATTGTCTTGCGAGCGTTTTTTATTCGGCGTGTCGGCACTGGGCGGAAGGGGGGGAGAAGGGAAAGGGGGTCTGGCTCTGGACCTCTGCTAACTGCGACTGTTTGGAACCGTGCGTCCATTATGGGGGAGGCTCCACCTGCTCGAAGCAGGCGCCAAAAAACAGCCAAGATCTACTCCACGGGGGGGAGGAGGGGGGGGAGTGCGAGGGCCCGCGCCGATCTGCAAAATAATGAATAAACAACGCTCACCTCGGGTGGGCAGAACTGTCGGTTCAGCGACTTGCTTCTGGAGGGGATCGGCCACTGCCGCCTCGCAGGCAGAGTGCGCAACCAGAGCCACCCGAGGAGCCACTCATTGCGACGGCACCTAACATCACCAGCCAGGAGAAGCAGCGAGCTAGAAATTAGCCTGGCGAAAGACCCAACCATATGCAGCTGTGAATACTGCAAGCATAAATATCATCTTCGCCCGCGCTCCCTATGGGGCCACGAACCGTGTGAGGGGAGTGCCGACATGCGTGGCGGAGCACACGACGCGAGCGAAGACGGTAGGTCTGTGTGCGAGAGACTGAGAGCGCGTGAGTCTGATTGTGGATGAGTCTGCGCGCGCGTGAGTCGACGTGCATAAATGTCGATGCCCATGTCGGCGCGCCTCTCACGAGGATCGCGCCCGCTACATTCCCGTTCTTCTTCTCCCTCTTTGCCCGTGCACGCCCACGTCCAAGGCCGCGGGCGCGGCGCCGCGCGGAGTCCCCGCGACGCGCGCTGCTCGCCCCGAAGGGGTCCGGCGACGCGCGCGGGTCGTCCGCTGCGCGCAGCAGAGCGAGCGAGCAGGCTGGCTCCCGCCAGGGATGCGCCGCCATGCGGGCTGCGCCACTGGGACCTTCGGTGGAGCTCCCTATGGGGCCACGAAGCGTGTGAGGGGTGTGCTAAAATGGTGCGGCGGCGTCATGCGGGCTGTGCCACTGCGACCTTACGTGGAGCTCCCTATGGGGCCACGAAACGTGTGAGGGGTGTGCCAAAATGGGGCGGCGGCGCCATGCGGGCGGTGGCACTGGGGCCTTCGGTGGAGCTCCCTATGGGGCCACGAAACGTGTGAGGGGTGTGCCGAAAAAGAGGCGGCGGCGCCATGCGAGCGGTGGCACTGGGGCCTTAACGTGTGAGGGGTGCGCCAAAATGGGGCGGCGGCGCCATGCGGGCGGTGGCACTGGGGCCTTCGGCGGAGCTCCCTATGGGGCCACGAAACGTGTGTGGGGTGTGCCAAAATGGGGCGGCGGCCCCATGCGGCCGGTGGCACTGGGGCCCTCGGTGGAGCTCCCTATGAGGCCACGAAGCGCTGTACTGGGTGGGTGAAACGCAGGGAGGAGGGAGGAGGGGGAGGAGGAGGAAGGAAGGAGGTGGAGAACGCGGGGACCGTCTCTTCAAAACGAGAACCCAACACCACAGGATGGTTGTGAAAACACGGGGCTAGCTCGGCCCCAACGGCATGATCACTGGATCAATCAACATCGAGCGCAAGCTCGTGCTGCATCGGCACGGGGTTGACATTGGATCACATTGCCTGGGCCAGGATGCGCCATTCCTCCTTGCAGGGATCGGACCGCACCAGGTCCGAAGTCGACGTGGTGCCCCATCGAGACCTTGGTCTGACATGTGGCGCGCCGAACGATGGTCCGGCCTGAGCTAACCAGCGCGCGCGGGGAGGGGGGCGTCTCCCGGCGTCGCCGCCGCCGCCAGCGTGGAGCAGGGACAGATGTCGGAGGCCCTCGCGCGTAGGCGGGGCGTGCCGGCGCTGGAGGAGGCAGCAGCAGCAGCAGCAGCAGCAGCAGCAGCAG